CAGACCTCCTGAGGTGAAAAAGAAAGGCCTACAAAGGATGGAGGATCGCCTCCAAGGAGGATTATTCTGCGCTGGTCCGGTCCTGCAGGGAGCAAACCAGGAAAGCCAAGGCTGCAACTGAACTCCAACTAGCTTCAAGTATCAAGGACAATAAAAAGTCCTTTTTCAGATATGTGGGGAGCCAGAGGAAAAGCAAGGGCAACATTGGACCCCTGCTGACCCAAGGTCTGGAACAGCCTGCCATCAGAGGTGGTTCAAGCACCTACATTGAACACCTTCAAGAGCAAATTGGATGCTTATCTTGCTGGGATCCTATGACCCCAGCTGACTTCCTGCCCTTTGGGTGCGGGGCTGGACTCAATGATCTTCATCTTCCGAGGTCCCTCCCAGCCCTAATGTCTATGAAATCTATGAAATCTATTAAATTTATCTTATTATTAAACAATTTGGCGTTGGAGATCTACTTGCTTTTTCAAGTGTACATGGAGAGCCAAATTCATTTGCAAAGTCCTAGGAGATCCTCAGATTTCAAAAACAGTAATCCCACAAAGGACTCATACGGGGATTTGGCAGTAGCAATTTTGATTATGAGATGATGGCACAAATGAGAGAGAGGGGTTTCAGGTTTTCATTTTTAGTTTTTTTTCAGCCTGAGAGCCGTCTAATGTATCTTAAGACATATATGCACTGAGAGAAGGAGGGAGCGAGTGGTCTGCTGTGCCCACTCTCACAGTCTATAACAACAAGTCTTCCTGTTTTTTGAACTGGAAGAATACAAGTGAAGGCAGGGAAATCACAGGACACAAAGCCATTTCCAGGAAAAGCGGATAGAGTGGGTACTTGAAAAGCATTCGCCTGCATGTGCGCAGAACGATTGAAAATATCTACAAATTGGTTCTCAGAAAAAAGGAATGGAAACAAAGGAGCATCTAATCAACAGGAAACCTTCTGGAACACTCAGTGGACTTTGGCGTGGGTGTAAAATATAACTAATGGAGAAAACGGTTGTGATGGAGCAAAACTACCACCTGTAAAGAGATGTTCCCTGCTTTCACATACCTTTGAATCAAGTTGGATTATTAGAGGACTACAGCCCAGTTTAACTCCAGGGAAACCAATATAGAGATAAAAAAGGGCTCTTGTCAAAAAAGGGCTCTTGTCAGCATGGCAGCAAGTGGTCAAGCAGTTCAAGGCTTTGTCATTAAAAAGTCTCCTGGGGAGATGGAATTCAATCCAAACCTTTTCCACTCCAAAAGAGAGTGGCAGAGGTTGCGAAGTGCACATAACCCTAGAGGTGGACTTAGGAATTTTGGTGTTCTGGGCAGAAATACTCAAGACCAAGGTGGGACAAGGGGAGAGAGTCCTCAGTGCCGTCTGACCACCCAAATGACTTGTAAAGGGCATTTTGTAAATGCCAGACATCATACTAGAAATTCCTCTTTTCTGTGCCCCAGCACTGAAATGGGGTAGTTAGACCCATTGGTTGAGTGTATGTAAGATCAGGGAACAAGCACTAGAGAAAGGAAGCAGAACTTGATGGTTTTGCATAGATTTACTGTTCAGACCTAAACTAGTCAACGGCAGGCTAGTCTGATTCCCCTTAACTTGCTAATACCTTAGAAAATTACCACTAGTAAAATAAGGACTATGATTGGCTTTGAATTACTGGCATTCTGTTCAACAGGATATGAACAAAAACTGGTCTGGCTTTAGACAAACGTCAAGCAGTAAATTCTAAGAGCTGAAAAACCATCAGTTGGTGACTTATAGAACCCACATTCCTAAAGCATCTAAAAAAAATGTGGGGGGAAGAGAGTAAGTGTCTTGTCCAAGACTACTGGATGAGTTGGTGACAGACCAACTTAAGGAGCTAGCTCCTGGCTCTCAGGAAATTAAATAAACCTCCCATTAATTAAACCTCTATTTAATCCACTTGACCAAGGAGCATTTTTTTATCACATACCTATCACAGGAGTCAGCAGTAAATGGGTAATGCTCTGAAACAACCCTGCCTTTTTTAAACTGATGGACAAGTGTATAATTTCTGCCCTGCCTGAAGTGTGTGTGTGTGTTTGTGTTTTTTAGATCCGTTCTGAAACCATTGCCACCTATGCCCTCTGTGGGTTTGCAAACTTTGGCTCTCTGGGACTGGTAATCGGAGGACTCAGTAAGGACAATACAGACTTGACCTCTAACTCGCTGTTTATCAACCCATTAAGAAAACAAAGCCTCTCTTCATTAACTAATGGAGCTCTTCTTAAACAGTTCATGGAAACAAAGGGGCATTTGTTAGCTCCGAAGAAGGACATTTGGCTACCTGTTGATTAGCTCCAAAAAGCCTGTCTGCCTGTTGTCTCCCACAGCACAGACCATAGCCAGCATGTGGTTTGCTAGCTAATGCTGAAGTGTCTGCATAAGGCAGATGGGAGTGGGGGAATAATCCCTGCTTAGCAGGGAGAAACCAGGCAGATGCTCTGTGCCTGCAAGTCTCTGCCAGAGCTGCAGCCAGGGAGCAGAGGGGAGGGCCAGTCCTGCTGTGGAACAGAGAGCCCCACCAAGCCCTGAGAGCATGCCAGGATGCTGGGGGTGTCTGGTTTATCTTAAACCAGCAAGGGGTCTGGGACAGACATTGCATAAACCAGTTTGAGCCAAATCAGTTAAGTCTGATACTACATTCTGCCGGGTTTATCTTAAACCGGTTTCAGCCATTTTCAAACTGGTTTATGTGCATTAAACATCTGTTCTGTTACAGGTTTAAACTAGTTTCTGATCACTTAAACCGGTTCTTGTGTAATGTCTGTCCCTAGCCTGGCAGGCTCCCCTGGTATAGCATGAACATTGGTTGTGGTTAAGCTGGTGTGGAAGTGTCTAAGCTCTGTTCATAAAGCTGATGCACTCACATAGCAGAGAATGTAGCCAAGTGTAGGGCCATGTAGCCGTAGCATTCCTACCCCTCGGCAGTCCACTACAGCCTTACCACTGCTTTGAGGCCTTTGGCAGCTAGAGAAGTGGCCCTTCTCTTTGGGGAAAAAAATAAAAAAAATTTAATTGAGTTCCTTGTATTCTGTTAGCGTTCTGGAAACTATTCATTTGTCTACTAGGGAGCTGCCACACATGCAAAACAAACTGTTCTCTAAGGGACATTACAAATGAACATTATAAATCACGATGTATGTATTAAGGCTTCTGCCTGATTCCCCAAAGGTTGGTTACATACTCCAGAAGAGTTCTGAGTCAGCTCTGCTGTGATCTGATGTGACCTCAGTCTGATACAAGGGGAAAGAGTGGTTTGATTTTTAGTTGAAATGGAAGGTGCCCATTAGCCAGCTTCACTGAGCTAGTCAACACATGTTGTTGAAGCAAGTGGAACTTGCATTTATTTGTATCTCATCTTTTAATAGATAGAAAAATTGCCCTTTGAATGCCTTATTAGGCATATCAAATTCCTTTTTATTTGCTCCTAATGTCCATTCTGGTGATTTGCAATTTCCCATTCTCAGTGGTATACTTTGTAGGAAGGTTAACATCTTTATCTTCTTTTTTTTCCAACTTGCTTCTCAGCATCCATGGCTCCTTCCAGAAAAAGGGACATCGCTGGTGGTGCCTTTAGGGCAATGATTGCTGGTACCGTTGCCTGCTTCATGACAGCCTGTATTGCAGGTACCCTACATAACTTGTAATATCCCCGCATGACCACTGGGTGGCAGTGTGTTAGCATGGTAACTTTATAAGTAGACAATGTGCATTATTTAGCTGTCAGCTTTCCTCTCCCTTTAAGATGGAAAAGTTGCTAGGGTTGAACTGAAATTTGGGATGTAAAAAAGACTCTTCTTATTTCTTATATCATATGTATCAATTTTAAAATTTGTTACTCAACATATAATTACTAATTCATAGAAAAAAAGATAATTACAAGTTACAAGTGAGTTGAAGTCCCTTCCCCACTCCTCTGCTCTGCTGTACCATGTATCTAAAAATTAAAGAAACAATGAAAAGGAGGAGGAGTGAAACAGGAAGTAGAGCTCTTCTCTTGTGTTATAATAAATGAACATTTTGGGGCTGAGTCTGTACATCAGCAGTAACTATATTGAAGACAATGGCCTTACACTAGTAAAAGTGTGATCAGAAACAAGCCTTATATTTTCAAAGCTCTACCATGAAGTTGAGCCATGAGCTACAAAAAAATCACCATTTCAGAGAGGAAATGGAAAGAATGTAACACTATGCATCACTGCAGGGATTAATTCTTTAGCCAGCTGTTGAAGGATTTAAAAAATAATTAGGTATGGTTAAATGACACAAGTTCTTTTCCTTTCCTTGAATCTAACTAGCCCCTTTCTACCTTTTTGTTTTGAGCATGCACTATGAGACTCAAAGAATTCATAGTGTTTCAGTTCAGATATGATCTTGGCACATAATTTGGCTGAGAACAGCATATCCATATCAGCTTTTGTTCACTCATCTGGCCCTTCCCGTTTCTTGGAAACAAGGGCCCTTGAAAGTGCGCAGATTGAAATTTTAATAAATAGCAATCTTACCCAGGGAAACTGGGGCATCAGAAAACATTTGCAAGGAGTGGAACCTGAAGTTTCCAGGCCTGACTAGAAACATAAATTGGGAAGAGGCATAAATTCTTTTCTCCACATGGCCCTTAGGCACCCCAAGTCAGATTTTCAAAGGCGCTTCAAGATACAGAAATGCTTGAACAGATTAGACACCCAACTCTAATTGAATATACACCTAAAGACTTTTGAAAATCATGCTATTAGGAGCCAAAGTCCTGTTTTCATGGGTAACTTAAAAAATTAATTGGACTTCGGATTCTCTGACTCAAAAATCTTACCCTTAGACTCAATCTCACTATGAACTGCTTGACCACTTGCTGCCATGCTAAAACTCCAGGTATTTTGTTTTGTTGCTTTCTTACAGGTAGGACCTAATCCCCATTAAATCAGTCTTACCTTCCTGGATGACAGACAATAAACCCTCAAAATGTCAAGCAGTATACAACAGCTCATTTGAAAAAAAAATGTTAATTTTCAGAGAGAGAGAGAGAGTAAAGAAAGTTTTTTTGTTTTGTCTTTGTTTTTAAGATAGCCACATTTCAGAACTGTAACAAAGGACTTAATGTGTTTGAAATAATTCAATTTCCCTGGGGATCAAGCCACTCCAGTCTCCTCCCTGCTGGGTGTCGCCTGATATAAATGGGAGAAACTGTACTTGTCATTTTTCACTCTGGTTAGCAGAGTAACATAGACCTTGCCTTACTAGGAAAAAAAGTGTTCTTTCCTCACATTACCTAATGCATAGTAGCTAACAGGAGGTAAAACCCTGAACACAAGGTAGCCTTAACACATGAGTTAGCAGGTCAAGGTCAAGGGTAGCTCATTTTCTTGTAGTGAAAGCTACAGCCTTTCCTTGATTAGCAGTTTACCATATGTCACTTACCACCTGTTAGCTAGCATCAGGTAAAAACAGATCTCTTTTCCTACTGAAGACACACCTCTAGAGACTTCTGTTATAGATTAAAGCAACTAACACCACTGTACTCAATTTCCAGGAATATTATCTGTGCCTGTTGTGGAAGACGTTCCATGCTACATTATGTTAGGGAATGCCTTCAACTCAACAGGTTCACCAAGCAACACCACAAAAGTAATTAGCTGCTGCCAAGACCTTTTTAACAGGTACGGACAAGTTCTTCATTCTCTCTTCAAGCTAGCTCTTTGAACTCAGGTGTTGTTTATCACTGCTGTATTTTTTGTGGCAATGTTTTAGGAAATAAAGGTAAACAAAGGTAAAGGCAATGGCAAGATACAAAAGATACGTCAACATTCAAAGACATTGCTTTTTCTAGTGCAAATAATGAAAACAATTTATGAGGTGTCATGAAAGTTTGGAATGCAAGAGTTACTGTTGCGGACTGCATAAAACTCGTTCACCCACTTTGGTCGGTTAATTTTCTAGCTGGAGGTCCAACAGCCTGATTGTGTTTTTGAGCACTTGACTCTGTTTCCAGGCATTGGTTACAGCATAAGTGACTGGTGCCTCCTGAATCTGGGGGGGGCACCCGCAGAAGCCACTGACCCTGTCAGGGGGGCACCAGCCCTACCGACAGCATCAGTGTCGGCCGTCAAGGGGGGCACCAGCCCTGTTGGGGGGGGGGCACGTGCACCCCTGTGCACCCCTTACCGGTCACCTATGGGTTACAGTGACATTGTACTCCTTGAAGAGATTAATACTTTAACTCTGTCTGAAAAAAATCTTTTGATTTTTCTTGTAAATATTCATTTCTCCTCTATCAAATAAACATACTTCCTCACTACCAAATAATAGTGCACTATCTCGCCATAACTACACATCGGACATAAATCAGAACCTTTTCCTTGAAGACTGTGTGTTTGGACAGAAAACAAAACTGAACTAAAAGAACATCTTTTATTTAGATATCTTTGCACACATTATGGTAGTGTTGGAGTGGTGTAGCTGAGATGGTCAGGAAATATTTGAGAGGCAAGGATTTTTATGGATGATACCTTTTATTGGATCAACTGCATGGTTGGGATTAGATTTAGACACTCTTTTGAATGCAACACATAGTTCTTCAGGTCAGAGGGAAAAACAGGTACAGCAAAAAATAAAAACAGCCTGCAAGGCCATGAAATTGGAGGAGAAATTTGTAGAGGTAGTAGACAAGCAAATCACAGAAAAAGGATAGCTTGATTGGAAGAAAGGTAAGACCTTTCAAAAGGGAAAAGAGTAGTTATCACCTATAGCGTGAAGAAAGATTATCAGGAATCAGGTAGACTATAGTATGCCATAAATTCAATACCCATGTTCAGTCCTTGGTTCTTAGGTGTCCTGCCAGCTTATAAATTTTTTCCTTCTAGGCTCACCTTTTCAAGGTGTTTTGTAAATTTGCACTGAGCATGAAGACAGTGAGATCAGAAAGTGAGTCATTGCTTGGTGCAAAGTGTTCTCCTATATGTTCACGTGTCTCTATCCTTAATCTTTTTCTACATTTTGATATGTAGTTATATCCACATAGGGTGCTTACAGACATGGGGAAAAAATGAAAAAAGCACTTTACTTCCTACTCAGCATGCCCCTGAATCAAGCACAGCACATGCCCAGAAGAGAAATAGTGTCAGTTTGACCCAGTTTGCCCAGCAAACTATAGCTCATGTGCTTCAGTGGGGCTTTTTGGCACTTTTACCAGATATTATATGAAAGTGCCAAAAAGCCCCACTGAAGCTCGTGAACTATACAGATGCTGGAGAGCCAAGTCAAACTGACACAATTCCTCTTCTGGTAAAGCATGGTGCGGGACAAGGGGGCAGTGAGGGGGTTTACATCTGCCAGCGCACACGGTTTCCCTGAGGCCATTTGGTACATTGGATGAGATATACCACATTTTGGGATAGGCTTGTGGAAAAATCCATGGTTTCTTGTGTGTTAATTGTAGGGCGTGTTGATTGTTCCAGCAGTGGAGATGTATTGACGGGCTTTGCATCTATTGCTAAGGCAAGGTTGTGTCCCATTTGATATCTCTTGAACAGGAGAAGCTTACTTCTGATGATGAGTTGGACAAGATTAGGGCGTTATTTGAAAGCCAGGAGCAAGGACTGGGGGTTGGGAGTATTCCTCTTAAGTTCTGATCTTTATCAAGTAGGGGCTGTAATTGTCTGATAATTCTTCTTATCAGTTCAAATGTAGTGTGGTAGGTGACCACCAAGGTTGTACACTTACAGGAGGTTTCTTTATGTACCATAGCAGGTTACTGTGAGGTATATGAGTGCTCTTTCAAAGATATGGACTATTGCAAAAATTACATTTTTTATAACACACCGTATTGGGGGGAAAAGGTCAATAAGGACTGTAGTATGTGGTGTTTAGATTGTGACATGCAACAAAGATTTCTCTGCACGAGTTAGGGCAGGTACATATTTAATTCACTTCTAGGGCTGTGCAAAATTTTGCCGGCAGTTTTGTTTTGACTCTGTTTCGATTCGTTTCAAGCAAAATCAAAATGAAACAGAGAGCTTCAAAACAGCCTTGAAATGGCTCACCAAAAGCATCCAGGAATGTCTCAAAGCCAAAATGGGGGCATACACCCAATGGAAGGAAGGGGCCATCACCAAGGAGGATTATACCTCCATTGCTTGAGATTGTAGGAGGGCTGTTAGGCAGGCTAAGGCAGAGATGGAGCTGGGACTAGCAACCCAGATCAAAGATAACAAGAAGTCCTTTTTTAAATACATAGGGGGTAAAAAGAAGGTACCAAGTAACATGGGGCCTCTGCAGGACATGCTTGGTAATCTGGTGGTAGCACCAGACAACAAAGCTAATCTCTTTAACAGATTCTTTGCTTCCACTTTTCTGAGCAGGGACAGAGACATCCCCTGCACTGGGATTCCAGATGGATCCGGGGGAGGCACAGCCAGGCCCAGGGTCAGTGAGGACCTAGTCAGGGAACTTCTGGAGGGACTAGATGTGTTCAAATCAGCAGACCCTGACAATCTCCACCCCAGAGTGCTGAGGGAATTGGCAGAGGTCATTGCGGGACCCCTGGCACAGCTTTATGAGCACTTGTGCTCTGGCAAGGTGCCAGAGGACTGGAAAAGGGCCAGTGTGGTCCCTGTTTTCAAAAAAGGGAGGAAAGAGGACCCAGGAAACTATAGGCACGTTAGTCTTACCATGGTCTTGGTGAAGATCTTTGAGAAAATTATCCAAGAGCATACCTGCAAGGGACCAACAGGGGAGATTATGCTTAGGGGCAATCAGCATGGGATCATTAGAGGCAGGTCCTGTCAGACCAGCCTGATGGCCTTCTATGACCAAGTCACAAAAGCCTTGGATGAAGGTGTCGCGGTGGACATAGTCTTTCTAGACTTTAGGAAGGCCTTGAACACTGTCTCTCACCCATCTTCATTTAAAAAATTAGGCAACTGCGGTGTTGATGCCTACACAGTCAGATAGCTCACAAATTGGCTGGAGGGCCACGCCCAGAGAGTGGTAGTGGATGGGTCATTTTCAGCCCAGAGGGATGTGAGCAGTGGGGTTCCC